GCTGGTGAAACCAGGAAGGACTTCCCCACAAAGGCCTCTCCCCTGGCACTGCTGGGCTTGGCTGGGACAAGCCGAGGGGCAGGTACCACCACGCCCCAGAACAGGGCACGGCTGAAAAGGGCTGGGAAGGTCCCACGGGGCAGGGAAGTGCTCAGCCCACGAGGTGCCAACTGCTGAACAGCTGAAGCTGCCCAGCACTCAGCACAGCCCAGGACCAGCCCCGGAGCCCACGGGCATCCCTGCAGCTCCAGCCTCAGAGCTGGGCTTCCCTTCCCCAGGAAGGAAGGTGTGACTGCAGAAGTGCTCCAGCCAGGGGACATGAACACACCAGTGCTGCTTCACAAGTGGCTTAAGGTCACTCAAGACTGCACTGCCACTGGAACAGGCAGCTGGGGGCCCAGCCCCACCACCCTCACAGCACAGGGTGGCTGGTGTCTCTGTGTGACCCTTTGGGTCAGGAAAACAAACCGCTTGAAAACTATGGATTTGTGAGGTTTTTTTTTCCCTTGGGTTCAGTCACCACAGTGACAATTCATGTCTGGATGTTATCAGAGAAGCTACCTGCATTCCCTGATGGAATGTCCTGGTCACTCCAGTTCCGCTTTAGGTTTCCCACTGCCACTTGGTAAAATTTCACCTCCTTCATGGTGAAATGTTCCTTCTGCAGAGAGTTGCACTGCAAGCCACGTGCTGCTGCAGCAGCCCCAAAGGCAAGGCTGGGGCTACCTGCATTGCTGTGGCTGGGCAGGGCCCCGGGTGGGGGACCCCAGGACTTGGAGGGGAACCCAGCAGACTGCTGACAGCTCCTGGCTCCTACAGGAAATCCCAAAGCCCTCTGGTTTCCTATTTCCCAGGTGTGCAATGAGGGCAGCACTGTTATTCTCCTGCTCCATGTCCATGGTGGTGCTCAGCTCCTTGGCCTCATGGTCAGCACTCATCATACAGCCCAGTGTTTGATGGTGCATTATCTCCACAATAATGTGCTTTCTGTGAAGGACCTCCTCCCCTGGACAGCTCCCAGGGAGCTGTGTAAAGGCTGTCAAGGATGTGGTTGACTTTCTCACACCCTTTCCCTAAGCAAGGGCTTTCTGGAACCATCCTGCACCCACACAGCCATCTCCCTGCAAACCCAACAAACGTCATCACCACTGGCAAATGCTCACAGCCAAAAGGCAACAGCTGCTTAGCAGAAACACTAACTGGTTAATGCAGACTGCAAATAATTCATCACTCGGGTGAAGTCGCCCAGGGGGACAAAATTAAAGTGCTGGAAATGAAACAAAGCATTTGACAACACTGCTAAAGTTAAAAAAAATAACTGCTGGGCCAGAGTTCTCCACAACCCAGGGGGCACAACAGCCTGGACCTGGCTACACAGGTACCAAACCCAGCTAACCCAGGGACCAGCTTCCTTCTGACACCTGTGGGCCCCACCAGAGCTGCTGTCTTTGATACCAATGTAGCTCAAAAGCAAGTTGGACTGAAAGGAAGTCCTCACTCCTGGTTTCCTCACAATGCAACAGGATCCTCAGGTCACAGTCATGGATTGAACAGGAGAAAAGTGCTTGACAGCAAGCCTGGCAGTAGAATAAGGCAGAACTAAACAGCATGTTTGAAGTGAGAAGACAACAGTGCAGCTCCAGTGCCTGCTGTGGGATGTGCGTTGTCTTGGGGTGGTTATGGAGATCCATCACCAAACACCCTACATTGTGCAAGCTGTGAACCCAAGCACGAGGGAAGGAGATTAACGGGGAAGCAAGACAGAAGCATCAGCAACACGTGCCCCAAGCTGGACGAGTAATGGTGCAGGAAAATACAAAGCTAAGGATGCCCTGCAGGGAGGTACATCACACGGCACGGGGAAGGGCAGAAAACACGGATGGGATTCACCACGGACCCAACAACGCAGGAGGCAACACACCAGCTCCTCTGTGCACCTGAAAAACCGCGCTGGCACCTGCACGGAGTTGAGGAACAAAAACCTCACGCTGCCCGGGAGAGGGGGACGAGAACAAACCGCGCGAGGGAAGGGGACGGGGCAACAG